GAGCTTCCAGTGAAAGCTCTGGGTCGAGGAGCACTCCCAAGCTGCGGACCTTGTCCCTAAGAGGGAGTGCAACCCCATTCAGGACAAGGTTCAATTCACCCTCTCCGAAGCCCGATCCACCAACCAACAGGACCTCCGTCTTGTCTGGATTGAGCTTCAGTTTATTGGCCCTCATCCAGCCCATTACCTCGGCCAGGCACCGGTTCAGCACAGCCACTGCCTCACCTGGATTGGTGGAAAACGAGAGGTAGAGCTGGGTATCATCAGCGTACTGATGGTTCCGCAGCCCACACCTCCTGATGACCTCTCCCAGCGGTTTCATGTATATGTTGAACAGCAAAGGGGACAAAATGGACCCCTGCGGTACTCCATGGCATAGCTGCCATGGCGCAGAGCCATAGTCCCCCAGCACCACCTTCTGGAACCGGCCATTGAGATAGGAGCGGAACCACTGCAAAGCAGTGCCTCCAACCCCCAATCCCGCAAGCCTATCCAGAAGGATACCATGGTCGATGGTATCGAAAGCTGCTGAGAGGTCCAGCAGAACCAACAGGGACGCACTCCCCCTGTCCTTCTCCCTGCACAGGTCATCATACAGGGCGACCAAGGCAGATTCAGTACCGTACCCGGGTCTGAAGCCGGACTGCAATGGGTCCAGATAATCAGTTTCATCCAAGAGTGCTTGGAGTTGTCCCGCCACCACTCGTTCTAACACCTTTATCTAGAGCGTTAACTTCTCCCAGTGGATGGGTTTCCTCAGGGTCTGGCTGGCTACTTTTACCATGGATCAGAAAGATCTGAGGCTCAGGCCCCCAAGAAAAAACTGTTCACAAATCTGTGTGTGCTAATTTACACATGCACTAAGCAATTTGTGTGTGTCCAGAAAAAAGATGCAGAGCAACTGGGGAGGAGGCAGGAAGAGACACGGGAGTTGGCAAAAGCCAGATTATCCAGGGGGTACAGATCCAACAGGGATCATTGAGATACCTGCATTTTTATTTCAGAAGGTGTCCATGGACAGTAGGGTGGTAGAGCAGGTAGCCTCTCTGAGGATCCAAGGGAAAGATGCAGGACTCCAGCCCTAGTCATCTATCTCAGGTTTGTAAGATATAAGGTTCCAGCAAAAGCACCTGGAATATCTGGGGCTACACCTGAGTACAGTAGGGAGGAATCTTAACTCAGTGCTCCAACATATGCTTGCATGCAGGAAGTCCCTCCTCCAGGTAGCACTGAGAAGGAACCCTTTCTGAATTCCTGGAGAGCATGTGCCAGTCAGGATGAACAGTATCACTAGCAGGACCACTCTTCTGACTCAGTAGAAGACATCTGCCTTTGTCCATGAACTGGCCATCCCATGAGGCAGGGAGAATCTGCCTCTGCAGACAGCAGAGTGGAGAGAGTAGCAAATTTCATGCTCTCCTTCCCCACCACGAGGAGGTTCCTCACTGGTGTGCGGTGGTGACATCAGCACATGCTCCAGAATGTCTTGTTACTGGCAGTGCTTGCCAGGAGTACTTAATGGGGCTCTCTGGAGCAATCACCTGGCCTGCTAATTGCTTATTAAATAAATTTAGGGTATAGACTATATAAAAAGTACTGATGTTATAATATCAGACCATAGGGTTTAGCTGAACTTTCATTACAGGCAAATAAAAGTGGGAATGTCAAGATGGGGTTGAGGAAACCAACCCAAGTCTTTAACCTCATATATTTTCCACAAATATTGTGTTGCAGGCAAGGCCAAGTCAAGAACGGTTCCAGCTGAATTTTCTCTGCATGATTTGTTTTCTTTACCTTTCCTTTGGTTTTCTTAACTAAGATGCAGCCCGATGCATGCTTCAATGGAAAAATGGCGTACAGCTCCCAGCATGTTCCAATCGCCTATCCTGGTAGTTCTAGGCCTTTTTAAAAGTATGCATAGAATTGTACCCTGAATATCTCAACATGGTTTCTTTAGAATATCTGTGGCCTGATCAGCAGTTGGTTCAGTTCAGACAAATACTTGATACTTACAAGCATGAACATTGCTTACTTGTTTAGGTATTTGGAAGGCTTTCATTCGTAGGGCCACTATCAGTCGGAGAAGACGGCTCATAACAACTTTCAGCCAAGCAAACAGCACTTCAGGCTGGCCTCACAGGATGGCCAACTCAAGAACAACAGAAGATGCCTGAGGAGCAATGGCTGACACACTTTTATGTCCCCTTCCCCTGTTGTGTGCAAGGGAAGGAAAAGAGAAGCTTCCCCTTCCAATTCGGGCAAAACCCTTTGGTCCAATCACAGCAAACTATGGTTTCCACCAATCACAGATTGTCCTCAGACCGAGATCCCACATTATCACTTGTCTGAACTGAGCCATTCTGGTTTTTAAGGGTGTATCTAAGTGTTTGGGTTTTTTTACACAACTATTCCAAGATGCTGTCTATGAACGGGATGCATGAGAAAGCCTGGAGGGGCAGCAGCTCCCGGCACAGCTCAGTGACAGATCTGGAAAGATGCTCTGTGCACCTGCTGGAAGAGGGAACATGTGTCCGTGGCCAGAGACATGCGGTGGGAGCATCCACTTTAAAAGGGAGGTGCGGGGCGGGGGGAGGTGCCAACAGGAGAGTGCATGCATGGCTTACATCTGCGCAAGGACAGCTCATTCCATGTCCTGTCACAGCAAGGCGGCTTTTCGGTGCTCATTTACAGCAAGGCTTAATAATTAATGAGCACTTATTATTAGAGCTGCCCCAGAACCATATGGCCGCAGGATGCGAGGAAATCTTCCGAGACCCAACACTCGGGTGGAAGCTTGTTCTGATTTTGCTACTTTCTGTTCCTAGCAGAAGGCAGAGGTGTTTTCACAGCATGGAATGTTTACTTTGAGGTTTTCATTTGGATGGGCTTCTGTTCTCTTCAGAAGCCCTTTCCTTCAACAAATTTCAATCAGACCTTTGGCAGCAGTTCCATCTGTGGAATTGCGGGGGCACAGAAGGGAGGGCAGAAGGGAGGTGGAGGGTGGCGTCAGGTCAGCTTCCCTGCTCCTTGGTGGATCCGAACCATGTCATTGAGGAAATGACCCCCCCCCACCCCACCTCCAGGGGCCCGAAACATTCAGAATCTGGTCTAAACAAAACACGGCCAATTCCAGTAACTCTAACCAGTCCAAAGCACCCAGGGTGGTTTTCCACAACCTGGCAGCATCCAGTTCTGTTGGATTCCAGCTCCCACCATTTCTAGCAAGTGTGGGTTCAATTATCCCCAGCCAACAAATCAGGCGGGCCCGCTGCTGAAAGCTAATCCGGAGTAAGCACCAGTCCAAATGAAGATCAAGGCAGGAATCTGAAATCTCAAGAAGGGTGGCTCTGTCCTACTGCAGAGAGGGCAGTCCTCTTTTTGAAGGGGCAAACAGACATCAGTCCTCTGAAGTACTTTCTGCTCCACGTCTAGTTTAAAGATAAAGCAGAGGATGGTGACACCAGAAGGTCATCTGGTGAATCTTCCCCACAGCAGCATTATATAGCAAATGTCTACTTAAATTGTAATGACTTTTAATATATGCATCTGTTCTTTATATGAGCATAGATGTGCATTTATAAGGGTATATGGGCATCGAGGCATAAACATTTTCATACACAAGCTTTGTGTAAATGTGCCCTCTTTCCTCCTTTCTGGCGACATTCATTTCCTCTTTTTTCTGGTGTGCAAGTGTCCACCAACATCCAAGATCGCCAATGCAGCCAGAAGCTCCTGTATTAAAATGGCCAGTTTCAAGAGCCAGAACAAATTGTGCAGGGTACCAGCAAGGCATTGCAGGGGGTGATTCCTCCTCGACAGAAGGGAAGCAGTGTGCAGGCTGGGTGTAGGTCAGCATAGGTGGGCCTATGTTAAGAGGCTTAACTATCATTAGTCCATTTCAAGCAAATGCTTGTCCATTTGGGAATACTGTTCATGAGTGGCCTCCATCCAGATTTGATCAATTGCTCGATCCCTTTCCACAAGCTAACCTGCCCAAGCAGTAAAAGGCCCAGGTAGACCCAGACTCCATTCCCAGTTTGCCTTGGCTCTGTACCAAATGCCATAAAATCTAGCACTTTTCCCCTGCCTGCACCATTTTGGACCCATGAAGGAAGCAACAGGAACAGTGGTTAGAACAGAACAAAACCAGCTGGGAATGGGATGGATCTGGACAGTTGGTTTAGCGTTATCTTCCAGGGTGAGATAATTACAGTGACTGTCAGCTGGAGTTAGCATTTGGGGTCATTCGGCAGGTGTCCACTTTCGTCTTGGGCTTTGCTTTTATTCCTTTTTTGGTGTTGCATAAGGAGCCAACCGAAGCCAAATGCCCCCTGAAATAAGACTGTTATGCCCCCTTTCCAAAAAGAAAAGAGAAATGTGTTGGTCTGAATATTATTGAGATTTATACACAGCTTTCCACAGAAGTATAAAAACAGCAAACATAAAATGCAAAGGCATAAAAAGAACTATAAATATAACAATAAAAACAACACTGGACAATCAAACTGCAAAGAAGCAGTGAAATAAGGGCAGTAGCAGTGGAGACTCTTCTTATGTTCTTCCATTTTATGTTTGTGCCTTGAAGACACGTGGAGTGGGGCCCAATCCACCATTCCTAACTGCCCTGAGAGCTGTTAAAGGGAGACAGCACTGGGCTGTCATCTTGAGTTGTAGGCCAAAATATTTGGAAAGCACCTGACTAAGAAATTCAAGACCCTAAAAATCCAGGCAACCTCTGTGCTGGCCCCAGAGATCTCATGATGACTTCTTCCAGTACAAAACAGTAGCAGGGAAAAATATTTGTGTGGATGCTGGGCGTTTGGCTCTGCAATGTGGTTTATGATGGTGCTGTTATTTTTTCTGTGGCCTGAATATAGACAAGGACAAAAGCCATTCTAATTAAAGGAGGGCAGTGGCAAAGCAGCTGAGGAATGGGCGGATGTAGGTCATTACTCCAATCCAGCCAAGTGAAAGAATGGCTTCTGGTTGTGTCTTTTCAGGAATTTGCCGATTCCGTGTATCAAATAATTACACAGAAGTTTCAAGAAGTGACAGATAACTTTGCTGCCATCTATGCCCGGCACAAATCCCTTGCAGGAATTGTAATGACCAGAGGTAAGCTTGCACTTCATTGCACATTATTTTGCTTTAATTTTGTCTCAGATATAATTTTCAGGTAGAAAAATCTTGTTTACGCTACCTACTGGTGCTGGAGGTAATATTTGTGTGTGGACTGGGGGATTTATTTTATTTTTGTTCATCCACATAGCCTTTTTTAAATCATGACGGCTGCTCTGAGACTCGGTGCCACTTGAACATTTGATTTGCCTGTGAGTTCAAATCCCTGCTAAGCAATGATGTTTCCTTGCCTGGGCCAATCTCTCCCTAGTTGCCTCCAGTGCCTGACATGGAGATGGAAAGATGGGATATAAGAGCTTTAAATAAACACATAAAATCTCTCACCCTAATCTTCCTGACAGGGATGTTGTAAAGTTAGAAGCCCAGTCTAGTGATGGAATGCAAACAATTTTAGGAAAGTCGGTTTCAAAACATAAAGTCAAACAATGAGACGTTGGCTTCACACACGACCATCTCATCCCTTCAGCTGCTTCCATCGCAAGGCATATGTGCTTCTGTATGTTTGCAAACATGGTAGCTTCATTTTCTGTGTCCACATCCTGGAGCCATCTTGACTAATTGCACAGGAGGGGTGAGGTGCAAAGCAGGGTGAGAGAGAGTGAAGTGGCCACATCAGATGGTGGGAGGTGAAGGCAGGGAACAGTAAAGAGTTGCTGGAGAGCAGAGCTGTGTGGGCCCCATGGCTTATCCCAGGTCACCTACCCTAGTCAGTTGCCTACAGGAACCATAGAAGACACTGTCCTTTCTCATGGTGGAGGTCAGATTCAGCAGCCAGTCTGCTCAGCTTCTGTGTGAGGAATGCCAGTGTGGACGGACACACCCACACACCCAACACATGTTGTCCTGGCCTTTCCTTCAAGTAGAAGCATCTTGAGCCAGTCTTGATGAAGACAGTGCACAAAGTAACTGATAACTGCCCAACTAGAACTGGGAGGCAAGTGGAAAGGACCCTAAAGGCAAGGGTCATGGAGAAGGCTCTCTCTCCAAACCCAAAGGGATGAGTTGCACCAGACACTCAATTTGGAAAGCTTTGGATTTCTGCAAAGCCTGTGAACAGCCCTTCTGCCTGGAGCACTCAGTGGCCCAGACATTCTGAATGCAAAGACAGAGGAAAACCTCAGTGAGTTTGCTTCTCGTTTGAGTGATCTCTGTATCTTTGCTTGTGTAGGGAAACTTGCCTTTTCCCAGCTTCTCTCTCCACCGTATGATCTGAAAATGTCACCACTGTGTCAGCTGCTGTGTGCTCTTAATAGCCGTAGTACTTGATGTTATTTATTCATTCACATATTATTTTCAGCATTTATTCATTATATTTATATTCTGACTTTTCCCTGCACTACTCTGCCACTCTTCATCCCATGAGATCCTAGGGTAGTGAGCATGATAACTAATCCATTATTTCAAAAACATGTATCTAACAGCCCTAATAAGAGACAGCAAATGCAGATCCCTCTTATAATTTAAACTACAAAGACTGACTGAGAAGTTGTACATATGAAACTGCCTTGGCAAAAAGTGGAATTCTACCTTGACACCAAAATGTTGTAATCACTGGGCATACCTAGCTTTATTCATAACCCACTTTTCAGCTCCAAGAGTTTGCTAACAATATGAAATCAGTTACAGTACAGTGTATTAAGCCCACAGAATATATGCCAAATTTTAACCAACTCCTAAGAGCAGCAATATGAAAACCTAATGAGACCAGACTGACTCCTTTAAACTCCAACTGTGCACTATAATAAATAAATAGGTCCTATAATAAATACCTATAAGAAAAAGCTCCTTTGCCTGCGTCTTCAAAAGGGATGTTGTTAAGTAGGCTGTATCAGAAGAGTACAGTTATCAGGTATTGATACAGAGGCTATCACACAAAAGACCCTGTTTTGGGGAGATGACACCCCAGGATTCAGAAGTCACAGAATGAAGGAGAGGCTCATTACATGATAAACGTATGTGCAATTATATATTTAGTATAATTCCATTCTGCCTGCCCACTCTTCTTTACACAGCCTGCTTGCCCCTATCCACCTATTCATCTGTACACTGCTGCCCCATTTATCCCTCTTGCCAGACAAAAATTGCCTCCCAACTTTCAGCAATTTAAATCCAGTGCACAATGTTGGTGGTGGGCACAGTGTTTCTACCCTCTTCCAGTGTCCTAGTACAGACCAGTTAATAAAAACTTAATCAATGCACATGTTTGTTGCCAAGGAGAAGAAGTGCGTATATTTTGGGGTCTTGGGTAACGAAGGGCACAAGTCTATGTGTGCTTAGACAGCAGAAAGGCTGGCTGCTCCTGCCATTATTTGTTCTTTCTAAATATGCATAGGATTGTGCCTAGAAAAGTCTTATTTACTACAGTACTGTAAGGCACTAAACTGTGAGTCTTAAACCATCCCCTGATGGTCCAGAAATACATACTCCAGAATTTTGTGGGTGAATTGCAGAAGCATCATCCAATTCCGGGCATTTTGTCTCCTACAATAGAGTTTTACAGCAGCCCCAAAAGTAGCAGCAACGGCAGCAAATCGTGTATCAAATGCTGACTGTTATCTCATATACATATGTTTAGAGTTTGACAGACAATTTTTCAGAGGAGGCAGGAGGTATCCCATGCATATTCAGAGGGGGCTTGCTAAATTATCTGGAACAAACTGGCATTATGTTGTAGACTCAGGCTGTGCAATATGTTAACTGCTATGGGCTCAAACTAGATTACCAGACAGAATTGAAGGCTAAGAGAAAATGCAGACCAACGCACTGACAATCACCCACCCCTTTGTTAAGTCCATTCCAGATAATACATGGCAGATCGCAGAGCCATGGAATTACCTCTTGGTCAAATGACGCAACTCCTCAAAAATATAGCATGCTGCTGCCCCTCCCTTTGGTGCTCACTAAGTAAGTGAGGTCCTGACCCAGATCCAGATCATCAGATGCTGGTAGAGGAAATAGAGACCTCTCCACTCAGAGACTTGTTTTCTGGAATCCCACCAACCAAGGAAAAGGTTCTGCTGGCAACAATGGAAGTTTTCCAGCTGGTTTCTTTTCTTTGTAAGGTGTAGTGAGTTTCAGAAAAGAAGTTGTTGGAGAAGATGCTTAAACCAGGAGTGCAGAACCTGAGATCCAAAATTCCATTTCAAAGAAGCTCTTGGTAGCCCATTCCATTGGTGAGCAGGGCCAGAGGCAGAAGGATGGGGAACCGGTTCCTAACATTTTGTGAGAAACCATCTCCATCTTGCAGATGTTTGCTTTTGTTCCATGTGCAAGAGATTACCCTTGCCCTCCAAGTGCTCTGGCGTGTGCAGAGGACTTGTGGCAGGCACGATGGAGGACCTTCATCACTCACTTTGCATTAGGCTTTGGAGAAAGTCAGGAGGACACAAAAACTTCTGGAGGCTTCCATCCTTCCAAAAGGCCTACATTGATTAGAGCTGCACAGTGTCTGTTCTTTTCCAGGTCTGGGCATAAAAATGACTCTTCTCCTTCATTCTCTGCCTATGCCCAAGAACTTATGAACAAGTGGCAACTGAAAATAATGGCTTGTTACTGACATTTGTGAGACCTGGGCCAAGAAGCCAGAGCTGCCTTTGGCCACACAGCTTCCTTCTGTCTCCCACCATGGTTGTTCAGGACCAATGAGACAGCAAGTCTTTACCATCATGGTTGAGATATGCTCAGGAATAAACAGTGCATTGGACAGAAGCTCTAGAGAGTGAGAAGGCAATGTTAAGCTGTGGAATAGCTAGACTTGCTATTGCAAGGCATCCTGTTCCTAAAGGAAAGTCATGCACTTTGGGAAATGTTGTGTTTGTAAGACAGTCTTTTGACTCGTTGTTGAAGGCATAACTTATCACTTTTTGTGGCCCTCACCACATGTGGCCCTCAATAACATCCAAGTCTCAAAGAGTATGAATCCATTCTTGCTTTCTGGAGCACCCATCTGGAAATGTTTCTCTCCCACTTTATGTATGTGAATGTGTTTCTGCTCATAAAAAGGAGGAAACGGGTAGACCAGAGGGAGAATTATCTGTACAAAGCTGCGAATGTTCAGCTTTGGTTCTGCCCACTTTGGGTTCTGTCCTGCACATTAGCAGACTGGGCTCCTCCCAAGTTTGGCTGCATGGTTCAATTGATTTTTCCCATGGATCAATGCCCTTTCCCGGGAAAAGGTTCCTCACCTCTGCTTTAATGCTTTGTAATGCCGCATTTTCCTCTCCACCTGCAATTACTGGACAAAATAAAGAGTCCCTGTCACAGTTTCTATGGCTAATCCATTATTTTCAAAGTCCTTCTTGCTAGGCAGCCTGGGGGCGGGGGGGAGAGGCTCCATACATTTAGTGGATGAGAGATGGCTGGTATTTAAACATTATTTTCCCATTTGAACCATCTTGACAGTGTAAATATAGCTAGAAACATTTTTGTCCTCTTTTCTCTTCAAAATACATAATCTAAGAAGTTTGGCCCTCTTCAGAAGAAGACACAAAAAAGCTTACAGAAGAGTGATATACATTGATTTCTTTTCTCTAAATCTGAGTTCAATTTTCTCTTTCACTCACGCTCTCTCACTTTCTCTTTTTTTATGAAGCTGACAATCACTTTGATCTTAAAAGCAACCAGGGAGGTCTTTTCAGTTAGCTTATATGAAATAAAGATGAAGTGGACAAAAAGGGGCTCTAAACAGCAATTTCATGCTGTGATAAAAGATGGCAAATTATGGCCCACATCTCATGACATGGATCTTAATAATTGCTAAGTGGGGTAGCAAGTAAAAGTTGGCAATCTGTCTCCATGGATCCTTCCAGTCATTTTAAGATGCAAAATGCTTGTCACCTAAAGGTAATCAAGGATATTGATGAGACAATCCATTTCTGGTCCTGAGTTTACCACCAGGTTGCAAGCTAGTAAAATATATTAGCAGAGTGAACCAGCAGGACTTGGTTCAAGGAACCAGCGTTCCTGCAGCATCCAAA